TTCTGTCGCTGCGAAAGTTTAAAAAAATCGGCATTGAAGCGAAAAAAATAAAAGTCGTTTTTTTCGCCGCAGCACATTCGCGTTCGGTGTGGAAGCACTCATTACACAAACAGCTGATCAAAAAATAAAACTATCGCGCGAATTATTCGTGCGTCAAAATCACGTCCAGGGCCCTATTTTAACGATCTGAAACGCAAGTGTCAAAGCGTAAAGCGCAAGTAACTTTGTGGGCGGATCCCGGCGCTGTTGCTATTTTCCCTGCGGGATAAATGCCTCTTGCGCCTGGCGCAAATCTAAAAGGGGTTGGTCTGAAGTAGCTTCATTATTCATAGGCGTGGTTTGGGCGTAACGTGAAATAAACCAATCAGAGCGTCATCTCACATTCCCTTTAAGAGCAGGCGCGCTTGTTCTAAAGCGGATTCCTATTATAACGGTGGATTTGCCAGGCGCGCGCCAGGAGCGGTTCACAGCCGAGGAGAGCAGCGTTCTCGTCAGAGAAGTGACATTGGGGATGGAGAAACCCACCCAAATTAACTTCTGTTAAACAGGCGTATGATAATTTGGGTAAATGTGTAAGCGACATGTATGCTTTTATAATAAATTGTCTATCTATCTATCTATCTATCTATCTATCTATCTATCTATCTATCTATCTATCTATCTATCTATCTATCTATCTATCTATCTATCTATCTATCTATCTATCGTAATAATGTATGATTTGCAAAAATTAAAACTGCTGCTTAGATGAGAGAATCAACGTGTATGCGCGTTGTGCACACGCTACATTGATTATGGCCAAGCATGCGCCCTTAAAATAGCATTATGAACAACGCGCAACGCGCCACTGACTTTAGACTAGTTTTTTTCTGGTCAGGGGCGCAATTGTTTTATAGAACAGCAAAATAGCATGAGGGAAAGTTTGCGCTGGAACACGCCTCCTCTTTGCGCTGAACCGCCCCGGGGAGCGCAAGTGTATTTCTTAGTTAACCGACGTGCGTCTGTGGAGGGAAAAGCCCGCTTTGCGCGGGTGCAAAATAGGAACGATACATGCGTCAGTGTACAAAGTCATTTGCGCCGAGTGCAAGATAGGGCCCCCAGTGTGAAAGGACCTTTAAACGTCACAAACTGTGCAAAAGCGACAGCGCTTCCGGTGTCCGAATTCACTCACTCGTTTTCCTTCACTCCCTCAAGTGAACTATATTGGTGGAGTGTAGGGGTGTAACGGTTCACACAATTCACGGTTCGGTTCGATACGATACACTTGTCACGGTTCGTTACGTTTCCGATGCAGCAAAAAGAAAGAGATGCCAGAGAAATTTCCTTGATTTAATTTTTTTTAATTACATTTTTATTAAAACTTACATCATAAAGTATGATATTTTTTAACTTTGAGCAATGATGGAGCTATACTTGACTTTTCTTAGGAGCTTATAAAACAAAACAGCTCCTTGGACAAAATGAAATGTAATATTGTAGTAGTTATAAACAAAGGTTTATTTTAGTTCAGATTAACATTTGAGGGCGGCAATTGTATTCATAATGTCAAAATAAAACCGACGTAATGTTACTTGAAAGCATTATAGCCTACTATTCCTGCCATGGTTACAGTTAGTAGTGTTACTACAGTAAACCCATGGTGAATGTTGCTGATCTGTGGACACTGGATAGTTCATTCATGGCACAATGTTTCTTCCTGGTTTCCACGTCAGCGCTGTTTGATCCGTTAATAGCGGAGAAATGTGAATGTTTCTCACTAGATCTCGCAGCGATGTTATTACTTCTGTGGCGAATGCTTTCTTTACTGGATTTGGCTGTGTAGTAACAGTGCTGATGATGAAGATCGGCTCGCGCTGCATTGGTCCACACTGATAAACGGTCCGCGCGCTTGCCACACGCGACGCGCCTACATTTGAAATAACGAAATTTTGGTCGGCAGGAAAAATGGTCCAACGAACCGTTCGGTTCAAAAATGCGTACCGAAAACCGAACCGAAAGCCTCGTACCGAACGGTTCAATACAGGGCCGGATTAAGAATTCAGAGGGCCCTGGGCACAATGTCTTGTAGGCCCCCCCTTAGGCAGGCCAAATGTAGTTTGTCCAAGGACATTTTTTATTACTGACTTAAAAGGAACTTTGTTGTACATATTACTTCATAAATGATCTGTGTTTCCCATAGGATTTTATAAAACTATGTTGGGTGGAACTCTATCCCTCTAGGGGGGTTGGGGGGCATGCTCCCCCGCAAGAAAATTTTGTACATTTTAAGGTTAAATGCATCAATCTGGTGCACTTTGAGAGCTCACAATTAAGAGCTTCAACCAGCTTTAACCCATGAACTGTGCACATTGAACAAAGAAAAAGCATTGACTTGTACCTGGACATTAAAGAGGGCTCAAACATCTTTTTAGTTATGATATAGAGTCTCAGTCTACATTACATTATCACTGGTGTTTTAGGATGCCAAACAATTATTATAATAATGATTTATATAATTATTCCTATGACGTAAAATCATATACCTCCTATAAATGTAGCCTAAAAGTATTTTGCATTACATTACACAGTATAGGAAAAGTACAATACTTTTGTCCTAATTTCTTTAATTGCCAGAAATAAACCCTTGAGCTTTCATTTTGGAGAAAACACCAGATCACCATGCTGATCGCGTGAGCAAAGTGCGCACTTCTATTTAAATCACGCAGCACAAACAGAATGCCTATAGGCTACTTAAAGTCTTTTGCTGTTTTATAACGGCACGAAGCAATATCACAGTTTCAATTTGACTTCGTTGGCAAAATATAACGCTAAACAGTCGAGACCTTTATGTTAGGCGACCGTATGCAACTGCTTCTCCATCACTTCAAATTTCAGAGCGTCAAGTCACGCGACGCGAGTCGACATGATAGCTCGCTCTCGCTCACTGCGCAGGAATACAGACGCTGTTTTTGACGCGATTTAACATTATATTTTGATCGAATGGGTTGCAAAAATATGCATATAATTAGGAAAGTGAGGACTGCGTTTATAACGTGATCTAACATAATATTTGACGGTGCGCAGGGCCCCTTAGATGTCATGTGCCCCTGGGCAAGTGACCAGTTGCCCTAATGGTTAATCCGGCCCTGGTTCAATACGAATACGTGTATCGTTACACCTCTAGTGGAGTGATGTAGGGATTAGTGAATGAGGGTATAGAGGGCGATTTCAGACACAGCTTACAACTAAACAAGACAGAGGAACTAAACATGACTGTGACAGTACTTTAAAGTAAGACTTTTAATTTGACATTACAAGTGCACTTTTTGAAAGTGTACATAAGGGTGTGTTCATAATTCTAGTTCGGTTCGTTTGGTCCGGACAAAAACAAACAAACAAATAAACATTTAGTAACAGATAGTAGGAACTGAACACAGTGGAAAACCCCCCAAAAGTGAGCCGGGCCATGCAGTGGAAAAGCGCCATAAGTGTGTTAAGAAACATATTCATGAAAGTGTGCTCATTTAAGTACACTTAAGTGTCCTAGTTTTCAGATTTAAAAGTACAGAATAAGTGCACATTTAATAAAGATTAAGCTCAATTTTCCACGAGGGTTTGAAAAGCATTCGGGTAGGAACGTCCAGTGTGATGCCACTGTGTTTTTGTTATTGCTGTATTACTGTGTGTTCTGTAATGTTCTGATGTCTTCTTTTCATTCCCCCCGTCTATCTACTTTTGCTCTGCACAGGTTGGTCGCAAACTACGTGACTCTGGCCGTGGGAGAAGTCTTGCTGCTCATTCTTACTATCTGTTCGCTGGCAGCCATTTTCCCACGGGTGAGTTACTGTTCTAACTCCTCCATTAACCAATCACACACAGCTGTCACTCAAACTTATTCCACGAGTTGTAAAGTTGGTTGCAACTTCCGTTTTATGTCAACATGCATCTTTTTTTCTTTTCTTTTTTTTTTGCCACACCAATGAAATCACTGGGTCTTATCTGGACACTCCTGAAAAAAACCTTTTCTTTTGTGTCAAGGTTCCTTCTTTGTAATGAGATTTTCCTGAAAAGTGCATGATTATGCTTTCCATTAGGCTCCGGGGTCATGGTCCACGTTCTGCTGAACAAGCTTTCCGTATCTAATGCTAATCTTTGTCGACTTCTTATGTAATATTAATGTGACGGGTTACATGAGTGAAATGCTGTTGCTGAGGCTCATCCTCTTCCAGTTATTGTTCCAGCATGCACCAGTATATTTGATTCATCCTCATTAGTTAGGTCAACATAAAGTTACCAGTATTGATTCCCTCGCAGCCGCACACACACACACAGGTTCAGCGAGCGCAGAGATAATGTGATTTTGAAAGGAGAGGCGGTCACACACTCATCCACTAGGCAACCAGGACATATAAATGTATTGATTTTAAAAATCATGTTGTTGTGGATTAAATCAATTGTTTCCACAAACACTGTTCATCCAGCCACCCCAGGGCGGAAGTAAACGCATACACACTGTGATTAGATCACAGGCCTTTCAATTGACTTTACTGGTCACTTACTGTGGTAACAGGTCATGTGCGTACAAGGTTAAAACCTTTTCATATGACTGGATGTTAGTGTGTGGATTTCTGAGTGTAAGTAGCTTTTTCGTCTTGCTTTCAGGTTTTTCCAAAGAGATTGGTGTCGTTCTCCACTTGGATTGATCACACGCGCTGGGCTCGCAACACGTGGGCCATGGCAGCCATTTTCATTGTCACAATGGCCGACATAGTGGATATGGTGAGAAACAAATGAATGAATATCTATCTATCTATCTATCTCTCTATCTATCTATCTATCTATCTATCTATCTATCTATCTATCTATCTATCTATCTATCTATCTATCTATCTATCTATCTATCTATCTATCTATCTATCTATCTATCTATCTATCTATCTGTCTGTCTGTCTGTCTGTCTGTCTGTCTGTCTGTCTGTGAATTTTGTATCCATCCATCTATCCATCCATCCATGAATTATGTTTCCATCCATACATGAATTGTTTCCATATACAGGGCTCGACACATTAACACCCGCCAAATGTGTGTGTGTATTTCAGCAGTGGTGTGTGACGCAGTCACTCCTACTAGACACTTGCCTGGTTGAGTTTTATATATAATATATACATTTTTTAATTGTAGTCTTTTAAAAATGTGCAATGTAGTGTTGTCACAAATATAGATTTTTCAATACATATCGATACTGAAATATCTGAAACGCGTCCAATACTCATTTCCCGCAGAATAGATACACGATACAAGCTGCTTTCTCGCTCTCTCATCTCTCCGACAGCGAGTTACACATAAACTCGCCTCCCCTCCTGATGAATATTGTTGGTGTTACAGGCTTGAGTTTCTGCGTGGGATTGTATGTATTGCGCATAATGTTACTCATTCCCGCAGATGTTGTGCTCACAGCCAAAGTGTGCGCACCGAAAGCCCCCTCTCAGGACTAAATTGAGTTATTTTTCGCTTCTTATTGCGCTTAAACAGTCAAATACACTCAAAATAATGTCAAAATGCCGGTCTTGGCGAGTATTCACGTGAACACAGTCAGTTATGTTTTAAGTGAACGTAAACGGTTGTGAAAGAAAACGCATGTGTAACAGTATAATGGATCCGTGCGTCCGGTGTTAAAGTGACAGCAGCCTAATAAACCTGATGCCAAATTATGAGATAATATTACAAATATTTATATGGCAGTTTTTCCACATGGTATCGATGTCAAAACTGTGGCCAATGAAAATCTGAGTGGCCAGTAACTTTGGAAAAACAAAAGCCACAGTGGCTGGTGAGCAAAACAGTTATGTCAAGCCGTATACTGAATTATGTTTCCATCTACTGTATATACTAGGGGTGGAACGGTACATGTATTTGTATTGAACCGAAACGGTACGGGCGTCACGGTTCGGTGCACGAATTTACACGGAGAATACACGGTATAAAAATAAATAAAACTCGCGTCCAAATTAATTAATGTAATGCGGAACTACTGTTAGATGCGCGGGTTCTTTAGGGACACATAATCTGTACCATCGGCTCTGAACGCACGTTCACTTCAAACGTTGGCTTTATACGCGCGTCCTATTCGCTTTGGACTATAGCGTCGAACTAGACGCGAATTTGACGCTCTATTCGCGTTTGGTGTGACCGCATAATGGGCTGCGATGTCAAGATTGCAATGCTGGAGTGTGTGTGTGTATGTGTGTGCGCGCGCGCGAGAGAGAGAGAGAGAGATGCGCGGGCGCGATCGAACTCTGTGTGTGTGTGTGTGTGAGAGAGAGAGAGGCGCGGGCGCAATCGAACAGTGGAACCATAAAAAACATACTCCGTCATTTTGTTCATACAGATCATTAAACCTGCAAAGTGTGTATATTTGTGTACACTCGCAATAAAACACAACATTGTGCTTTTGTCACACTGTAAACTCTTGTCAAACTGTAACCTACAACTGTCACCCAACCAAAATATCACACACACACACTGTTTTAAAAGCAAAACATATTTATCCAATTCCATTTCAAAACAGTCTGTGGGTCCCATCTTTTGGACATTCGTCATATCGCATTGGTTTTCATTTCTCGTCCTCGGAGCGCTAATCTTACACATTCTACATTGATTAAAAAAGAAAATCGAATGTGTTTTTAATGGTAGTATTATTTTATACAGAAATCAATTATTTGTAATTCAGATGAGAATAATGTTACATTGTTAATTAATAATGTTAATTAAAATTAAGGAAAACAAATATATTGATCTGAAATATAGCAAATTAATTTTAAATTAATTCAGGTTCAATTACCAAACATATCGCAAGGTCTTTTTGTCTTTTTATTAATTTAATTAATAAACTAATCATATAAAACTATTGTCAGTGCACTACAAATAAACTGGTTCTATGCCTTTAATAATAAAACTTATTTAAAAAATACAATGCCTTCTGCATTTTTGTTTTGCTTTTCCCTCCATTGTACCGAAATCGTACCGAACCTTGATGTCTGAACCGAGGTATGAACCGAACCGTGACTTCTGTGTACCGTTCCACCCCTAGTATATACATATATAAAGTGTTAAAATCAAGTCAGAGAAGACCCAAGTTTATAGCTTTGTACCAAAACCTAGTAAGCTGTCTTGTTGTTCACTGCCTATATAGTCATCTGCCTTCTAAGGAAAAAAAAATTCCACACAAACATTTAACCAACAACAACTAATTTAATAGTGCAAGAGTAAAATAATGAAATGACATTAAAATCATGAAATTTTCATTGCGATAGAGAAATGTGCCTTTTTGAAGAGCCTGTTTTGTTTTCCACAACTTTTTGCACTCTCAAAATACTTGTTTTTAAAATACCATGGATCATATAAAGTACCACTCTTTTACTCAGCAACGATGCATTAAATTGATCAAAAGTGACAGTCAAGACATTTATAATGTTACAGAAGATTTCAGTTTCAAATAAATGCTGCTTCAAAACTTTCCATTAATCAAAGAATCCTGAAGTGAAACATCACAGTTTCCTCAAAAATATGAGGCATCACAACTGTTTTCAAAACTAATAATAATAAAAATCACAGGCACAAAATACATTTTTAAAACAGTTGTAATAATATTGACAATATTACTGTATTTTTGATCAAATAAATGCAGCCTTTGTGAGCAGAAGAGTCTTCTTTCACAAACATTCAAAAATCTTAAAAATCGGTAGTGAAACACCAACATTTTATAACACCAATGAGTTCAAACAAATGCACAAACATAATGTTTAAACATCTAAAAACACCACACATCCCCTTTAGATGATGTGATTGAACACCGTGCCTCCGTCTGACTCCTGATGTGTTCTGTAGTTAAGCTGTCGGGTTCCTCAGCCCTCCACCAATGAGGCGACCGCAGTCCCTTCAGTCTCAGCGCCCGCCAGGAACTGTTCGGAGAATCCCAAATACTACAGCTACGTCGCAGTCCTGGCTCTCATGGCCACCACCATGCTGGTGCAGGTCAGCCACATGGTCAAGCTCACGCTCATGCTGCTGATCACTGGAGCTACAGGTGTAGTCAACATCTACAGCTGGACGGACATCTTCGACCGCTACGATCTGGCTCGGTTTAAGGAATACAGGTGCGTGTCAGAGTCAAATCACTGTAGAAGTTGGGTTTATTCAAGGCAAGTATCACTGTCACTATTGCATTAGGACTTGAACTGACCACTGTCAGTATTTCACCTACTGGATGATAAAATGAACAAACTTTGATTGATTGAAGTGTCCTTGTTACATGTAGTTACTATAGTAAATTATGCATAATTACATGCTACTTAACATAAACCAACCCCTATTCCTAACTCTATAGTAATACATACATGTAGGTAATTATTATTACTCATTACTTAAAGGGTTAGTTCACCCAAAAATGAAAATGATGTCATTAATGACTCACCCTCATGTCGCTCCAAGCCCGTAAGACCTCCGTTCATCTTCGGAACACAGTTTAAGATATTTTAGATTTAGTCCGAGAGCTTTCTGTCCCTCCATTGAAAATGTATGTCCGGTATACTGTCCTTGTCCAGAAAGGAAATAAAGACATCATCAAAGTAGTCCATGTGACATCAGTGGGTTAGCTAGAATGTTTTGAAGCATCGAAAATACATTTTGGTCCAAAAATAACAAAAACTAGGACTTTATTCAGCATTGTATTGTGTTCCGGTTCTGTTGTGGATCCGCTTTCAGTGCCGCTGCTGACCAAAATGTATTTTCGATGCTTCAAAACATTCTAACTAACCCACTGATGTCACATGGACTACTTTGATGATGTCTTTATTTCCTTTCTGGACAAGGACAGTATACCGTACATACATTTACAATGGAGGGACAGAAAGCTCTCGGACTAAATCTAAAATATCTTAAACTGTGTTCTGAAGATGAACGGAGGTCTGACGGGCTTGGAACGACATGAGGGAGAGTCATTAATGACATCATTTTCATTTTTGGGTGAACTAACCCTTTAAATGTATAATTACACTGTAACAAAGACACCTTAAAATAAAGTGTAACCGTTTACTCTACCGTATATAGTGGGCCAGCATCCTAGAATATCAGAGAGGAATGGGCTGTTACTTACAAGACACTTTTAACCCACTAAAGCCTTCTCGATAACTTTTATATTGTTAGTAATATTTCAAGATTATTGGACCTTAGGTTTACTTGATTATGTCGATTAAGATCAAATATGATCCATCAGGCTTTTGAGGAAGTTTATTTGTTCATCTCTCAATCATCACTGCATTGCATTGATTTAGATATATGTTTTAAAACTACAGAGCTTTGATCATTAAACTAAGCATTTAAATATCATCTTACTTGGACATATTTCCTGGCTACATTTCATGTCAGGCTTTACAGGGTTAAGTTATCTCTTTTTTTTTACAGACTTTATCTCGTGCCCTCCAAATACACGATGAGTGTGATGATCTTCGTCATGATGGTCAGCTTCTACTACTTCTCCCGACATGTAAGATTTAACTTTCTCTCTCTTTTCGAACGATTTCTTAAAGGCATAGTTCACTTGAAATGAAATCACCAAAATGATGTAAAATCACCTTAAAAATATCGTTACGCCCATAGGACTCGTGTTATATTCCAAGTTTTCTGAAGTCGTACGATCGCTTGATTTGAGAAACACACCAAACGTTTAGTTATTATTCACTGAAAATCGTAAATAACAAAGATATCAAATCAAATATGGCACATGGTTAAAAGACATGTATGTAGAAGGTATGTCACATAATCTGCTCTCTGGAATACCCCCCAGATAATTAAAGAACATAATTATACAACATAATTAAAGAATTAAAGTTTTTGGGTGAATTATCCCTTTAAGGCTATTCCTCATGTAATAGCATATGGCTTTAAAGGGCTTGGGATAAAGATTATGAGTCATATGAATTACTTTTGGTATACTTTTATGCCGTTTATATTTTAATTTTCGAGCTTGGCATGCCAGTTCCCATTTACTGCCATTATTATATTAATCAACAATACACTTTTTGTGTTGCACAGAAGAAGAAAAAAAACTAATGGATCTGGAATGACATGAAGTTGGGCAAATAATAACATCATTTTGTTTTTGTGTTAAATATTAATTTAAAGTCTCACCAAGGCTGCGTTTATTTGATCAAAATACAGTAAAAACAGTCATATTGGGAAATGTTTTTACAATTTAAAATAGCTGTTCTCTTTCATAGGTTCACTCAACGCTGCGGAAAGCGCAGTGGGATATCCTCTGGATGTGCCGATTGCCTGAAGCCCTATAGAATCACGCCAATTCATTGGCTGATGGCGCTCGCGCAAAGCTGGCTCCGCCCCGACGCTCTTACGTCGTAGCATGATGAACGCGCGCGCGCCATCTTCTCCTCAGATTTCTCTGCCTTCACGAAGCGGTCACATCTCGCCCTTCGTTCGGTTTTTCTGAGCCCGAATTCTTCAAATTCAACTTCAGCTTTCGTCTCGACACTTCAGCGACTGGTATAAGTGGAACTCTGTTCTCCTTACAGTGAAGTGTCATGGATTATCGACGCTGCTCTCCGCCATGCGTTCGTTTTATCTCGAACGACGACCCTCACAGTAAGTGTGTTAAATGTATGGGTTTTTCGCATGCGCGTGAGGCTGTATTGGGATTGTCGAAATGTAAATTTTGTGACAATCTCCTTCTCAAAACCCTCCGCTCTAGACTCGCGGTTTTTGAGAAGGAGTCATTCGTTCCCCCCCGTCGCGCTCCCGAGACTGCTGAGGCCTCTCGTGGATCCGCGGCCTGGGGCTCGGATGTTGAGCTCGAGGATATTGAGTATGAGCAGACGGGCCTCGCCCTTTCTCTCCCTCCCTCTCCCGAGCACGCACGCGGCGCGGTTGAATTCGCGCATGATTATTTATGTCCCAGCCCGGGAGCCCGCGAATCGGTTTCTTTCGGTCTGGATGACGTGATTTACACTGCAGCCTCCGACTCCGAGGATTTCGGGCCTGCTTTGGCTGATGACGTTATCCCGCCTAGCGGCCAGGACGCGCGGCCTACTCCGGCCTACACTGAGCTTATTGACGTGCTGTCGCGCGCTACAGAGAAGCTCTCTATTGACTGGCCTGATGAGCCCCGCGAGTCTCAATCGTCCTAACTCGACGAGAGGTTCCTACGTGGCCCTAATTCTAGGCCAGAGCGAAGAAAGCTGCCCTTTTTCAGCGATCTGCATCACGAGATCTCCAGATCCTGGAAGCAGCCTTTCTCCGCACGCCTAACTAACGCGGCAGCCGCTGACTTCACCAACCTTGTGGGTTTTGTGGAGCAGGGTTATTCCGCTATTCCAGCGGTCGAGGACACGCTGGCCAACCACCTCGCCCCGTCGTCTGCACCGTCCTGGAAGGCGCGTCCCCTTCTTCCTTCCAAGGCTTGTAGGACTACTTCCTCCCTTATTGGGAAGTCTTACATGGCGGCTGGTCAAGCAGGCATGGCCCTGCATACCATGGCCATCCTTCAAGCCTACCAAGCGGACGTCTTGAAGGACATGGATGAAGGAGAGGGACTGACGCCCGAAGCTGTCAAAGAGCTTCGCAAAGCCACAGATCTGGCCCTAAGAGCCACCAAACACACTGCTCGGGCTGTTGGTCGCTCTATGGCGGGCTCGGTTGCTGCAGAGCGCCACCTCTGGTTGAATCTCACGGAGATCCAAGACAAGGATAAGAGTTTCCTCCTGGATGCCCCTATCTCCCTCTCAGGTCTTTTCGGGGAGGCGGTCAACACGGTGGTTGAGAAGTTCCGCGCCGCTAAGTCTCAGTCGGCTGCGTTCAGGCAGTTTATGCCCAGGAGGGTCAGAGGGCCAAGAGACTCCAACCCTTCCCCTTCTCAAACCCGAGAACGCTCTGCTCATAGGGCTGAATTCCCTACTAGCAGGAGTGACCCGGCTCACCACCCTCCAACTACGGTCTGGGGAGCCCGAGGTCGTCCATTTCCCCGCCAGCGCCCTCACAAGCGCCTTCAGCTGAAGCAGTCCAACAAATCGGCCGCTCCAGCCTCCTCGAGCCGTTCCTGACCCGCAGGTCAGAAGGAGGAGAGCCTCACCAGATCTACGAGGTTGGGACAGACCGCGCAAGCGTTTCTGCCCTCCTCCACCCGGCTCTCCTCATCCAACCTTGTCACCTTCGCCACCCAGCGTGTTTCGAAGTGCAGGTCCTGTTTCACTCTCTTCACCCAGTCCGGCGCAGGAGGAAGGAGACGCGTCTTGCTTTCTCCCCTCGCTCCCGATGCACGTTACACCCGCCAATCGCTTCCTCGGAGGCACAGTTCGTTTTCCTCTGGAGCAGGCGGACCCAGTTACTTCTATCCAGGTGGTGGTACCCCCCAGTACGTGTCAGGACGCCAAGCGCTCTCCTCCACGGTCATCCGCGCCTCCCCATGGGAACCAGCGCGACACCCTACCTCAGGTATGTCCCTTGCACTGCAACACTCCTCTCCCTCTATCACATTTCGTTCAAGAATGGGAGCGTTTACCAGGGGTATCGCCTTGGATCCTTCGCACAGTTCGGCTCGGCTACACGCTTCAGTTTTGTCGCAACCCCCCCTGCTTCAACGGGGTCTTTCCTACTGTAGTCGACAGCGCCGCTCAGGCTTCTGTACTACAGCAGGAGATTTCATCCCTTCTGCTGAAGGGGGCGATAGAAGAGATTCCTTCGGGGGAAGTCGAACAGGGCTTCTACAGCCGTTACTTCCTGGTCCCGAAGAAGGGGGGCGGCCTGCGGCCGATACTAGATCTTCGCCGGTTGAATTTCTCTCTTTACAAGGGAAAATTCAAAATGTTGACGCTGAAGGCCATCATATCTCATATCCGGCTGGGGGACTGGTTCGTGACGATAGACCTCAAGGATGCTTATTTCCACATCCAGGTCGTACGGCGACACAGGAAGTTCCTCAGGTTCGCCTTTGGAGAAAAAGCGTACCAGTACAGGGTCCTCCCCTTTGGCCTCGCTCTAGCGCCAAGGACGTTCACAAAGTGTATGGATGCTGCTCTGGCCCCGCTGCGGCTCCAGGGCATCCATATACTCAACTACCTGGACGATTGGCTCCTTTTAGCCCACTCCAGAGAGTTGGTGACTCACCACAGGGACATTGTCCTCCGTCATATTCAGTCTCTCGGTTTGAGGTTGAATACGGAGAAGAGCGTTCTTACTCCAGCTCAGAACACGGTTTTCTTGGGGGTACGCATGGACTCCGTTCTTATGCAGGCCCGTTTGGCTCCTGCACGGATTTCCAGTCTGGTGACATGTCTGTCCCGTTTTGCACTAGGCCAGCATGTTTCCGTGAGCACCTGCCGCAGACTTCTGGGCCTTATGGCCGCGGCCTCCCCTGTGCTACCTCTGGGGCTACTCCACATGAGACCTTTTCTGTGGTGGATGAAGCTCTCAGGGGCTCGGCCCACGGGGCCAGCCCTTCGCCTATTGAAGGTGTCGCGCAGTTGCTTTCGCGCCCTGTCAATCTGGCGGGACCCCCTCTTCCTTCAGAAAGGAGTCGGTATGGGTGCGGTATTCCGTCGCCAGATGGTTACGACGGATGCCTCTCTGACCGGATGGGGAGCGGTTTTCGAGGGCAGGCCAGCGTGTGGGGTTTGGACTGGCGAGACCCTCTCGTGGCACATAAACAGCTTGGAGCTGAGGGCTGTCTTCCTGGCTCTTTGCCACTTTTTCCCTTTCCTCGAAGGACACCATGTCATTGTCAGAACGGACAATATGGCAGTAGTGTCCCATGTAAACAGACAGGGGGGTTCACGATCGCGCACCCTAGACAGGCATGCGCGTCACCTTCTCCTGTGGTCCCAGGACAAGTTCCTCTCTCTGAGAGCAGTTCATGTCCCAGGGATTCTGAACCTCGCAGCAGATTTTCTGTCGAGGCAGAAGCTCAGGTCTGGGGAATGGATGTTGAACCGCCAGACGGTGGCCCTGATCTGGGAGGTGTTCGGGAAAGCGGAAGTGGACCTCTTTGCATCTCAGGAGTCGTCCCAATGCCCGCTTTGGTTCTCTCTGAGCCCTCCAGCTCCGTTGAGGATAGATGCGTTCGCCCACCCTTGGCCGATGCAGAAACTCTATGCCTTCCCGCCCATCAAGCTGATCCAGGCGGTTCTGTCCAGAGTGAGGGAGAGCGGAGTCCGCCTCCTTCTGGTAGCCCCATTCTGGCCGTCCCAGCCATGGTTTTCGGAGCTGATCCCTCTGTTAGAATCCTCCCCCTGGGAGATACCGGTCAGGGAGGACCTGCTTTCCCAGCTTCAGGGCAGGATATGGCATCCTCGCCCCGACATTTGGAAGCTGTACGTTTGGCCTATCAGAGGCCGTTACCTTTAAGCTTTGATCTCCCAACTGACGTTCAGGAGACCATTGCGAATGCTAGAGCCCCTTCGACGAGGAGGCTATATTCCTCCAAGTGGAGGGTGTTCGAGGCATGGTGCTTAGCACATGATAGGAACCCAGTTAACTGTCCAGTAGGCACAGTGCTGGAATTCCTGCAGGAAAAGTTTGCTTCCGGAGCGGCCGCTACCACTCTCAGAGTATATGTCGCAGCTATTGCCGCTCATAGAGAATCAGATGAGATTCCCTTGGGGAAACTGAGGTTAGTTTCGGCCTTCATGCGTGGGGTTAGGCGCCTAAAACCGGCTCGCCCCCCTAGTGTTCCCTCGTGGGACCTGTCAGTCGTCCTGGAGGGTTTGTCAGAGGCTCCCTTCGAGCCCTTGGAGTCAGCCCCTGAGCGGATTCTGACTCTTAAGGTTGCTCTTTTGTTAGCTTTATCTTCATTAAAGCGGATGGGGGATTTGCAGGCTCTCTCTATTAGTGAGTCATGCTTGGACTTCGCTCCTGGCCTGGTTAGGGTTACCTTGAGGCCGAGGTCGGGGTATGTACCCAAGGTTCTTTCCACGGCGTTCCGCTCTCAGGTTGTTAACCTTAACGCTTTCCACCCTCCTCCTTTTGCCTCTGAGGAAGAAAGGAAACTTAACTTGCTCTGCCCGGTCCGTTCTTTGAAGTTGTATGTAGATCGCTCAGGCGGTTGGAGGAAATCAAACCAGCTCTTGGTATGTTTTGGTGCTGGCCGCCGCGGGCTTGCAGCATCAAAGCAAAGGATTTCCCACTGGGTAAAGGACGCTATTTCGCTGGCTTACGAGGTGCGTGGTTTGCCTTCACCTCTTAGCATCAGAGCACATTCCACCAGAAGTGTGGCTTCCTCTCAAGCTCTCTTTAGAGGGGCCCTCTTGGAAGACATTTGTGTGGCGGCAGGTTGGTCCTCTCCGCACACCTTTGTGAGGTTCTATAATTTAGATCTTGACATGACTCCAGGTTCCCAGGTTCTATCTGCTTGAACCTGTCATGGTTGTTATTATTATTTGGTCTGGTACCAGTTATGGCAGCGCTTAGCTTGGCGAGTTTGGTATTTCGTTCCCACTGCGCTTTCCGCAGCGTTGAGTGAACCTATGAAAGAGAACGTCTCTGGTTACTTACGTAACCTATGTTCTCTGAATAGGGAACGAGACGCTGCGTTCGCTGCCAAGCTCCTCGCGCTGCCGACAGTTTTTCTTTTCGGCAGAGAAATCTGAGGAGAAGATGGCGCGCGCGGATTCATCATGCTACGACGTAAGAGCGTCGGGGCGGAGCCAGCTTTGCGCGAGCGCCATCAGCCAATGAATTGGCGTGATTCTATAGGGCTTCAGGCAATCGGCACATCCAGAGGATATCCCACTGCGCTTTCCGCAGCGTCTCGTTCCCTATTCAGAGAACATAGGTTACGTAAGTAACCAGAGACGTTTTCTATGGAAGCTTGTTTCCGCCACAGAATAAGCAATTAAAAAGGTAACTGCGACATTTTATCTCACATTTCTGACTTTATTTCTCACAATTGCAAGTTATAAAGTCAGAATTGCGAGAAATAAACTTGCAATTCTGACTTTATAACTTGCAATTCTCAGAATTGTGAGATAAAAAGTCGCAATAATCTTTTAAAATGTTTTATTCTGTGGTGGAAACAAGCTTCCATCGTTTTCTTTGTGAATATATTGTAAACTAATTTATTCCTGTGATCAAAGCTGTATTTTCATCATCATTACTCCAGTCTTCAGTGTCACATGATCCTTCAGAAATCACTCTAATATGATGATTTGCTGCTCAAGAAACATTTCTGATTATTATTAATGTTGAAAACAGTTGTGCTGCTTCATAGTTTTGTAGAAACCGTGATAGATGTTTTCCAGGATTCTTTGATGAATATAAAGTTGAATAAGCGGTCACTTCCTGACATTTGAGCGGTGTCTGTTCTCACCCGTGGCTCAGGTGGAGAAGCTTGCACGCACACTGTTCCTGTGGAAGATTGAAGTGCATGAGCAGAAGGAGAAGGTGTACGAGATGAGGCGCTGGAACGAGGCTCTGGTCACTAATATGCTTCCGGATCATGTGGCCCGACATTTCCTGGGCTCCAAGAAGAGGGATGAGGTGAGAATCTCGCCTGTTTACACCTGGCCACTTCAGGCCTTTTTACTGATCGCATAGCTATCGGATTTGTTAAGTGTTCCATGTACTCCTGGCCACATAAAGGTGTCTCTGCAATACGAATGTATTTCACATTTCAATAGGAGAGAAAGCGGCATCAGCACATTTAGTCTCACTACTTTTAATGAAGATGAGTGTGTGTTGAGCTTAAAGGGATAGTTCACTTTGAAATAAATTTTTGGTATGTTTTAGCTTACCTCAAGGGCATCCAAGATGTAGGTGTCTTTGTTTCCGCAGTAGTTTCAATTTTGATATTTTTAGGTCAAACCGTTCTTGTCTGTCAGTCATATAATGCAGGTCTATGGTCACCACCTCAAAGAGCATGCACAGAGAAGTCCAAATTAAACATGATTTAATGACTCGTAAATGTAAGTACACATTGATGGCCTAAGACACGAAACGAGCGGTTTGTGTGAGAAAACGAACAGTATTTATATCGTTTTTACCTCTTGTAAACACAGCCACGTCCAAGTGATCTGACTGCACCAGCGCTTCGGTCTGCGCAAGCGCCGGAAGTGATCACTCGCGCGTGTACGTCACTCATACAAGTGTTTTATTTTTTTTAATTGTTTTCTTTTACGACGGATTAAACATCCCGGATAAGCGCAAATTAGTACCATTTTAATTAGCCGTCTTACCTACAATCTCTGTTCTGTGTAAACAATGAGTGACGTACACGCGCGAGTGATCACTTCCGGCGCTTGCGCAGACCGCAGCGCCGGCGCCCTCAGATCACTTGGACGTGGCTGTGGTTACAAGAGGTAAAAACTATATAAATACTGTTCGGTTTCTCACACAAACCGCTCGTTTCATGTCGTAGGCCATCAATGTGTACTTACATTTACGAGTCATTAAATCATGTTTAATTTGGACTTCTCTGTGCATGCTCTTTGAGGTGGTGACCATAGACCTGCATTATATGACTGACAGACAAGAACGGTTTGACCTAAAAATATCAAAATTGAAACTACTGCGGAAACAAAGACACCAACATCTTGGATGCCCTTGAGGTAAGCTAAAACATACCAAAAATTAATTTCAAAGTGAACTATCCCTTTAAAACTTTTGCGCGTGGGCTTGCTGAAGAGATTCTCAGTTACTCATCTGCGGCGGGTCATATCTGTGGACAACAGGATCTCGCACATTTAGTTTTCTACCATTTTGGGAGGAGTAAAATTGACATATGTGGCTTCAACAATCAAAGGCCCTCATCCTTCTCTCGCGTCCTGGAACAAATCCTTCCCTTGCGGGTCAAAATGACCCAAAGCCCTAAAATTATACTTCTTTTTTTTTTTTTTTTTTAAGAAAGCTTATTTTATTTCATTTTGATAATATTTAACGCTAAATTACTAGATTTAATCAATAAATAATAAATCAATAAATAATTTAGTCATTTAAGCACATTCCTCACATCAACTTAAATCCAAAATAACTCACAATTTCATGCATAAACCTTTTAATTCAGCTCAAAATATCTTACATTGGGTCTCAGTTTTTTCAGGATGCATTCAGATACAAATGTAGATCATTTTTTGGAAAAGTTTTAGCATTTTTAGTTTGAATTTTGAGCATTTTTAGGTTTTTCTATGTGTATTGAAGCATTCCTCGCATTCCATTCATTCCTATGGGGGTCAAATTGATCCCGTGAGGGAAGGATTTGTTACTTTTTTAAACTTCAACCACAAAACGTAAAAAAAAAAATTGTTTGTGCGTATTCTTGGTTCAAGTGCGACAAAAGTCATTGGGTCTTGGACCCCTCTGATAAACACTCAATTTTTTAAATAAAAAATAACAAAAAAACAATTCTGGGTCAAAATAACCCGAGGGAAGGATGAGGGTTAAGATGCGTTTTGGTCGATCGGATCACAAGTAGACGAGGCAAACCCATCCTCTTTACACCTGGTGTTTTAATCTCTCTTTTGTCCACTTTTAACCACTTCTGTCCTGATTTCTTCGAGGGACGGGTAAATGTATGTTTTTTCAGATCTTTCAATCTAATGTACGAAATAAGTTTGCGCACTTTCATAAAAAAAGTGGAAACATACGGAGAGAATCAGCTTTCGTTTCTGCTCTGCAGAACGCTGTGAGTGAGTGTTAGAAATCAGGAATGATGAGAGAACATTGTGCTTGTTACGTTTTTCGTCTTAAAACCAAATTTGGGTCTTCAGTCGACAGAGTTTAAATCCCGTCTGTTTGAACGCATTCAACCACATGATCATCTACACTACGAAAGCAATCCAGTCGAATGCGTTTTCGACAACCTTTGGAAGTGGCCGAAAGTGGACAAACTCAACGTTTTAGACCCCATTTATACCTGTATTTAGCGTCGTCCACTTATGATCCGATCGACCAAAATGCTTCTTAATACCAGGTGTAAACAGGGCCTCTAATGCATTTACACTTGTTTAGTTTCGTCTGTAATGCATCTCAGACCAACTTTGAGTGAGTGATCGGATTTAAATCCATCTCGAAAGCATTTCAGAGAGTTTCCATGTTTTACATGCACAAATGCAGCCTAACTCAAGTAACTTCTCTGGTTTGGTTTCTCAGGAGCTCTACAGCCAATCCTATGATGAGATTGGAGTCATGTTCGCCTCCATCCCAAACTTCTCTGATTTCTATACGGAGGAAAGCATCAACAACGGCGGGATTGAGTGTCTGAGGTTCCTCAATGAAATCATTTCTGACTTTGATAGTGTAAGAAGTGTTTTTTTTTTACAGTTTAAATTTCACCCGCTTGTTTCCAATTATAATTAGAAGTAGAGATTTTATACCATTACTTGTTTGCTTTTGTGCTCTTTAGCTTTTGGATGAGCCACAGTTTCGCTTTATAACCAAGATCAAGACTATTGGCAGCACCTACATGGCAGCATCAGGAGTCACTCCAGACAATAACACCAACGGTTATGCTTGCATGAAGGTAAAGGAGGTGCAGATGGGATCTTTCTAGAAGCAATATACCCATCTAGTGCTGATAACAATGGTAAAAAGGATTTTTTGTGTCCTTCCCAACAGAAAGAAGAAGTTTCAGACAGGGAACGGTGGCAGCACTTGGCAGATCTTGCTGATTTTGCTCTGGCCATGAAAGTCACGTTGATGAACATCAACTACCAGTCCTTCAATAACTTCATGCTTCGCATCGGTTAGTGGGCTGACGTCCATCTACAGTAGTGGCTAAAGTGGCCTAGGAAAATATATATATTTACTCTTTATTCAAATATTAAAAATTAGTTCAAGATTTTTAAGCATATTGTGTTGTTGTGCCTTGTTTTGCCTTTCCTCATCTTGCCTTTTTTGCCAAATAATTTTGTCAGATAAATACCTTAACCAAGTGTAGTGTTTTGTTCTTCCCTCATATTTACAATATTTAAAAAAAATCCTCATATTTTGATGGTTTAATCAAACTTGTAGGGACATTAAAAACAAATATCCCTTCTAAACATCACTTTTGGCCAGTATTGGCCAAATGACAACGATTATGCTGAATGTTTTGCTGTGTGCATTATGAAATCTTTTCTCCACAGGGTTGAATAAAGGGGGCGTTTTAGCTGGTGTTATTGGTGCCCGTAAACCTCATTTTGACATCTGGGGAAACACTGTGAATGTCGCCAGTCGCATGGAGTCCACAGGGGTGATGGGAAACATCCAGGTGAGTGGTTTCACATTGTATTAATGATCTTGACACACACTTCCTACATTTTGTTCAACTATTCTGCATCAGGGACTCAAAGGAGCAATGCAACAGACTGAATTTGTCATATGTAATCCGATCATTAAAATAATACTGTTTAAAGTGTAGGTTCACCCAAAAATGAATAATTTACTCACCCTCAAGTCGTTCCAAACCCGTAAGAATTTTGTTCATCTTTAAAGGTGACCTATAATTCAAAATTGAATTTACCTTGGTATAGTCAAATAACAAGAGTTCAGTGCATGGACATGACATAGCCTAGAGTGAATCTCAAACTGGACTGTTTTCGCGTTCTCATTTAATTCACGTTTATGAAAAACACCCCTGAAAAACGGTCGGTTCTCCACACAATACCGACTGTGACGCAATAGTCGGGAACATTAATATGTACGCCTCCAAATATTTGCATAATGCCAGCCCTCAATGCCAGGCGGAACTGCGCAGCCGAAGCTGTTTCCTCAACTTGGGCCAATACAGAGCTGGCCTCGGATCGAGCTACCAAGCAACACTTTCTGATGTGTAATTGTTCAAGTTCAGACAGGTAATCTTTCTCTCAAAATCGTTCAATACTGTTTATGCATCAGTAAGTCAAGCCAGTGACTAAAATATCAGCTTCACATCGTTTCTTTTAGTAGGATGAAAATAATCGTATTTAAATTGTGAACAAATTATATACAGAAAGCGATCAAAGAACAATCTTTCCACACAGCGCGAGTTTATCTGGACACTTGCCAAACTCGTTATGAAATCAATGACGCACGTTACTGCACAACGAAGCTCTTACTGTATTTACATCATCGTGTTTGCATTGGTGAAAGCAGAGAGAGTGGAGAAACTGCTTTGCAATGATAAGATCTTAATTCTCGCGATCAACACGTCATCTGCTCAATGCTCATCACGGCAACATTTTATGTGATGGGAATAGATCTAAATACTTTAAAAACATCTCACGATTCGTTAATCTCGATAGCTGTTATAGTAAAAACGTATAATAGCAGTAGTAAAAGTATTCGAGAGAGTTTCACATGTAATGCGTAGCTATTTCATATGCAAGCATGTCAGCTAGGGGTGTAACGATTCATTCGTTTTCTCGATGCATCGATTACAAATCCTGACGATGCATATGCATCGATCTTGAAACATGTATTTCGAATCGTGAATCGTTTATTTCGGTCAATATTCGATTTAAAATGCTAAGAATCGAATAATTTGCGATTCTATATCGATTCAGTGCTTTAAAATATATAAACATTAAATGACTACATGCGCGAATTAATGAGGCGTTGTGCGGCGTCATTTCGCGTCCTCACAGCTCTCACATACTCGCTGCACTCTTACCATCTTTCACTGGATTTCGCTCGCGCTCGGTCCCATATAGCTCTCATCTACAGATTTTTGAGCAGTCCATGTTTGAGCTCTCCTCAGGACAGCCATTGGTGTTCACATGAGCAGATGACAGCTCTCTATCGAGAAAGCAAGCCATTGATAAAGCTGCCATATCATTGGGCGGTCACTGCTATGAAACAACGCGTTCGTTGCGTGGAAACGTCACCGTTATTTTCTTTAAGATAAGATACTGAAGTTTTACGGAAATGGATCATACCCGTCCTGAGCAGTTAAAGTAAAACCCCACTTATTCAAGGGTGCGCATTTATTACATGGAAAGAGAAAACGTATAATAGGTGTCTAAAATGCACACGCTTCCGATTAATCATGAATGATGAATGAAATGTAACTTAATGTCGTTAAACTGAACTGATGAAATAACTACAACATTAATTACACTGAAATAAGAGCGCGTGGTTTATCCATCAATCAGATGCGCATTAAAGTTGCATTCGTAATCGTTATATAGCACAAGTAGACAGCCGGCGCGTTTTCTTTCAGAATCACAAGGAAAATGTTCAGTCGGATAAAGAGAACAAGAGTAGCTATTCCATGAGGAAACACTAGTTAAGGTTTAGTTGGGAAAGTTCATGGTATTTTTAGTCTCACAATGGAGGATGTTTAATGTACCAGGAACACTTTAAGGTTGTGTATCCATTCCTACAAAATAGTTAGCATGATGAACTAACTATACTTTTAAAGCCTTTTTAAATCTTGGTTTACATTTTTACAAATGCTAATTTATAGGCTTTGGAAATATTTTTTATAATAGATTCATTAAAAACTAACATGAACTAACGTTAACAAGCATTTAAATAATCCTATGAATGCATATAAAAAATTAAGAATCGAATCGAATTAATCGAATCGCATCGAATTTTTATGTGAATCGCATTGAATCGAATCTTTCTGAATTTGCAAAAATCGTTCTTGAATCGAATCGAAAACCTATGAATCGTGAATCGAATCGATTCGCTGCCTACCCAAAGATTCACAGCCCTAATGTCAGCCAATCACAGCAGTGGCCGCGGTTACACTGAATCCCACAGCAGACACGCCCCTTCAAACAGAGTGTTCAAATCAGAGGCTAAAAGCAGGCTAGGAAAAATGCCATTTATTTCTAAATTATGATTATTTTTTATCTAAAAAACATACTAACATTATAAGGGTAACCCAGGAAACATTATAAAATAATAAAAAAAAACATTCTAGGGCACCTTTAAAACAAAAGTCAAGATATTTGTAATGAAGTCTGAGAGATTTCGGTCCCTCCATTGACAGTCTACTTCACTATCACTGTTATGCTTCAAAAGGTTCATAAAGAGATCGTAAAACTAATCCATATGAATCGAGCGGTTTAGTCCAAATTTTCTAAAGAGACTGGATCGCTTTATATGATGAACAGATTGAATTTAGGATTTATTCACATAAACATTCATCACCTCACACATCAGATCTGGTAAATGGAAGCTCAACTATTGATGACAATAAATGTTGTGCGAGAACAAATGAGGTTTATTCTCGTGTTACGCAGCACGTTTGAGCTTCTTCAAGAACAAATGAGGTTTATTCTCGTGTTACGCAGCACGTTTGAGCTTCTTCAAGAACCAATGAGGTTTATTCTCGTGTTACGCAGCACGTTTGAGCTTCTTCAAGAACCAATGAGGTTCATTCTCGTGTTACGCAGCACGTTTGAGCATCTTCAAGAACCAATGAGGTTCATTCTCGTGTTACGCAGCACGTTTGAGCATCTTCAAGAACCAATGAGGTTTATTCTCGTGTTACGCAGCACGTTTGAGCTTCTACAAGAACCAATGAGGTTTGTTCTCGTGTTACGCAGCACGGTTGAGCTTCTTCAAGAACCAATGAGGTTTGTTCTCGTGTTACACAGCACGTTTGAGCTTCTTCAAGAACCAATGAGGTTTATTCTCGTGTTACGCAGCACGTTTGAGCTTCTTCAAGAACCAATGAGGTTCATTCTCGTGTTACGCAGCACGTTTGAGCATCTTCAAGAACCAATGAGGTTCATTCTCGTGTTACGCAGCACGTTTGAGCATCTTCAAGAACCAATGAGGTTTATTCTCGTGTTACGCAGCACGTTTGAGCTTCTACAAGAACCAATGAGGTTTGTTCTCGTGTTACGCAGCACGGTTGAGCTTCTTCAAGAACCAATGAGGTTTGTTCTCGTGTTACGCAGCACGTTTGAGCTTCTTCAAGAACCAATGAGGTTTGTTCTCGTGTTACGCAGCACGTTTGAGCTTCTTCAAGAACCAATGAGGTTTGTTCTCGTGTTACGCAGCACGTTTGAGCTTCTTCAAGAACCAATGAGGTTCATTCTCGTGTTACGCAGCACGTTTAAGCTTCTTCAAGAACCAATGAGGTTTGTTCTCGTGTTACGCAGCACGTTTGAGCTTCTTCAAGAACCAATGAGGTTCATTCTCGTGTTACGCAGCACGTTTGAGCTTCTTCAAGAACCAATGAGGTTCATTCTCGTGTTACGCAGCACGTTTGAGCTTCTTCAAGAACCAATGAGGTTCATTCTCGTGTTTCGCAGCACGTTTGAGCTTCTTCAAGAACCAATGAGGTTCATTCTCGTGTTACGCAGCACGTTTGAGCTTCTTCAAGAACCAATGAGGTTCATTCTCGTGTTTCGCAGCACGTTTGAGCTTCTTCAAGAACCAATGAGGTTCATTCTCGTGTTACGCAGCACGTTTGAGCTTCTTCAAGAACCAATGAGGTTTGTTCTCGTGTTACGCAGCATGTTTGAGCTTCTTCAAGAACCAATGAGGTTTGTTCTCGTGTTACGCAGCACGTTTGAGCTTCTTCAAGAACCAATGAGGTTCATTCTCGTGTTACGCAGCACGTTTGAGCTTCTTCAAGAACCAATGAGGTTTGTTCTCGTGTTACGCAGCACGTTTGAGCTTCTTCAAGAACCAATGAGGTTTGTTCTCGTGTTACACAGCACGTTTGAGCTTCAGCAAGAACCAATGAGGTTTATTCTCGTGTTACGCAGCACGTTTGAGCTTCTTCAAGAACCAATGAGGTTTGTTCTCGTGTTACGCAGCACGTTTGAGCTTCTTCAAGAACCAATGAGGTTCATTCTCGTGTTACGCAGCACGTTTGAGCTTCTTCAAGAACCAATGAGGTTTGTTCTCGTGTTACGCAGCATGTTTGAGCTTCTTCAAGAACCAATGAGGTTCATTTTAGTGTTACACAGCACGTTTGAGCTTCTTCAAGAACCAATGAGGTTCATTCTCGTGTTACGCAGCACGTTTGAGCTTCTTCAAGAACCAATGAGGTTTGTTCTCGTGTTACGCAGCACGTTTGAGCTTCTTCAAGAACCAATGAGGTTTGTTCTCGTGTTACACAGCACGTTTGAGCTTCAGCAAGAACCAATGAGGTTTATTCTCGTGTTACGCAGCACGTTTGAGCTTCTTCAAGAACCAATGAGGTTTGTTCTCGTGTTACGCAGCACGTTTGAGCTTCTTCAAGAACCAATGAGGTTTATTCTCGTGTTACACAGCACGTTTGAGCTTCTTCAAGAACCAATGAGGTTCATTCTCGTGTTACGCAGCACGTTTGAGCTTCTTCAAGAACCAATGAGGTTTATTCTCGTGTTACACAGCACGTTTGAGCTTCTTCAAGAACCAATGAGGTTCATTCTCGTGTTACGCAGCACGTTTGAGCTTCTTCAAGAACCAATGAGGTTTGTTCTCGTGTTACGCAGCACGGTTGAGCTTCTTCAAGAACCAATGAGGTTTGTTCTCGTGTTACACAGCACGTTTGAGTTTCAGCAATAACCAATGAGGTTCATTCTCGTGTTACGCTGCACGTTTGAGCTTCAGCAAGAACCAATGAGGTTTGTTCTCGTGTTACGCAGCACGTTTGAGCTTCAGCAAGAACCAATGAGGTTTGTTCTCATGTTACGCTGCACGTTTGAGCTTCAGCAAGAACCAATGAGGTTTGTTCTCGTGTTACGCAGCACGTTTGAGCTTCAGCAAGAACCAATGAGGTTCATTCTCGTGTTACGCAGCACATTTGAGCTTCAGCAAGAACCAATGAGGTTTGTTCTCGTGTTACGCAGCACGTTTGAGCCTCTTCAAGAACCAATGAGGTTCATTCTCGTGTTACGCAGCACGTTTGAGCTTCTTCAAGAACCAATGAGGTTTATTCTCGTGTTACACAGGACGTTTGAGCTTCAGCAAGAATCAATGAGGTTTGTTCTAGTGTTACGCAGCTCGTTTGAGCTTTAGCAAGAACCAATGAGGTTTATTCTCGTGTTTCGCAGCACGTTTGAGCTTCTTCAAGAACCAATGAGGTTCATTCGCGTGTTACGCAGCACGTTTGAGCTTCTTCAAGAACCAATGAGGTTCATTCTCGTGTTACGCAGCACGTTTGAGCTTCTTCAAGAACCAATGAGGTTTGTTCTCGTGTTACGCAGCACGTTTGAGCTTCTTCAAGAACCAATGAGGTTTGTTCTCGTGTTACACAGCACGTTTGAGCTTCAGCAAGAACCAATGAGGTTTATTCTCGTGTTACGCAGCACGTTTGAGCTTCTTCAAGAACCAATGAGGTTTGTTCTCGTGTTACACAGCACGTTTGAGCTTCAGCAAGAACCAATGAGGTTTATTCTCGTGTTACGCAGCACGTTTGAGCTTCTTCAAGAACCAATGAGGTTTGTTCTCGTGTTACGCAGCACGTTTGAGCTTCTTCAAGAACCAATGAGGTTTGTTCTCGTGTTACACAGCACGTTTGAGCTTCTTCAAGAACCAATGAGGTTTATTCTCGTGTTACGCAGCACGTTTGAGCTTCTTCAAGAACCAATGAGGTTTGTTCTCGTGTTACGCAGCACGTTTGAGCTTCTTCAAGAACCAATGAGGTTTATTCTCGTGTTACGCAGCACGTTTGAGCTTCTTCAAGAACCAATGAGGTTTGTTCTTGTGTTACGCAGCACGTTTGAGCTTCTTCAAGAACCAATGAGGTTCATTCTCGTGTTACGCAGCACGTTTGAGCTTCTTCAAGAACCAATGAGGTTTGTTCTCGTGTTACACAGCACGTTTGAGTTTCAGCAATAACCAATGAGGTTCATTCTCGTGTTACGCTGCACGTTTGAGCTTCAGCAAGAACCAATGAGGTTCATTCTCGTGTTACGCAACACGTTTGAGCCTCTTCAAGAACCAATGAGGTTCATTCTCGTGTTACGCAGCACGTTTGAGCTTCTTCAAGAACCAATGAGGTTCATTCTCGTGTTACGCAGCACGTTTGAGCTTCAGCAAGAATCAATGAGGTTCATTCTCGTGTTACGCAGCACGTTTGAGCTTCTTCAAGAACCAATGAGGTTTGTTCTCGTGTTATGCAGCACGTTTGAGCTTTAGCAATAACCAATGAGGTCTGTTCTCGTGTTACACAGCACATTTGAGCTTCTTCAATAACCAATGAGGTTCATTCTCATGTTTCGCAGCACGTTTGAGCTTCTTCAAGAACCAATGAGGTTCATTCTCGTGTTACACAGCACGTTTGAGCTTCTTCAAGAACCAATGAGGTTCATTCTCGTGTTACGCAGCACGTTTGAGCTTCTCCAAGAACCAATGAGGTTCGTTCTTGTGTTACGAAGCACGTTTGAGCTTCAGCAAGAACCAATGAGGTTCATTCTTGTGTTACGCAGCACGTTTGAGCTTCTTCAAGAACCAATGAGGTTCGTTCTTGTGTTACGCAGCACGTTTGAGCTTCTTCAAGAACCAATGAGGTTCGTTCTTGTGTTACGCAGCACGTTTGAGCTTCAGCAAGAACCAATGAGGTTTATTCTCGTGTTACGCAGCACGTTTGAGCTTCAGCAAGAACCAATGAGGTTTATTCTCGTGTTACGCAGCACGTTTGAGCTTCTTCAAGAACCAATGAGGTTTATTCTCGTGTTACGCAGCACGTTTGAGCTTCAGCAAGAACCAATAAGGTTTATTCTCGTGTTACGCAGCACGTTTGAGCTTCAGCAAGAACCAATGAGGTTTATTCTCGTGTTACGCAGCACGTTTGAGCTTCAGCAAGAACCAATGAGGTTTATTCTCGTGTTACACAGCACGTTTGAGCTTCAGCAAGAACCAATAAGGTTCGTTCTTGTGTTACGCAGCACGTTTGAGCTTCAGCAAGAACCAATGAGGTTTATTCTCGTGTTACACAGCACGTTTGAGCTTCAGCAAGAACCAATGAGGTTTATTCTCGTGTTACACAGCACGTTTGAGCTTCAGCAAGAACCAATGAGGTTTATTCTCGTGTTACGCAGCACGTTTGAGCTTCTTCAAGAACCAATGAGGTTTATTCTCGTGTTACGCAGCACGTTTGAGCTTCTTCAAGAACCAATGAGGTTTATTCTCGTGTTACGCAGCACGTTTGAGCTTCAGCAAGAACCAATGAGGTTTATTCTCGTGTTACGCAGCACGTTTGAGCTTCAGCAAGAACCAATAAGGTTTATTCTCGTGTTACACAGCACGTTTGAGCTTCAGCAAGAACCAATGAGGTTTATTCTCGTGTTACACAGCACGTTTGAGCTTCTTCAAGAACCAATGAGGTTCGTTCTTGTGTTACGCAGCATGTTTGAGCTTCTTCAAGAACCAATGAGGTTCATTCTCGTGTTACGCAGCACGTTTGAGCTTCAGCAAGAACCAATGAGGTTTATTCTCGTGTTACACAGCACGTTTGAGCTTCTTCAAGAACCAATGAGGTTCATTCTCGTGTTACGCAGCACGTTTGAGCTTCTTCAAGAACCAATGAGGTTTGTTCTCGTGTTACGCAGCACGTTTGAGCTTCTTCAAGAACCAATGAGGTTCGTTCTCGTGTTACGCAGCACGTTTGAGCTTCTTCAAGAACCAATGAGGTTCGTTCTCGTGTTACGCAGCACGTTTGAGCTTCTTCAAGAACCAATGAGGTTCGTTCTCGTGTTACGCAGCACGTTTGAGCTTCAGCAAGAACCAATGAGGTTCATTCTCGTGTTTCGCAGCACGTTTGAGCTTCAGCAAGAACCAATGAGGTTCGTTCTCGTGTTACGCAGCACGTTTGAGCTTCTTCAAGAACCAACGAGGTTCCTTCTCGTGTTACGCAGCACGTTTGAGCTTCTTCAAGAACCAACGAGGTTTGTTCTTCCCCATCAATCAAGTACGGTTGAGCTTCTGTTTATGTTCACTGATCAATGTTTTAATGTCAATAAAAGCCCAAATTAAATCTCTTTATGAACTTTTTGAAGCATACAAAGTGGTAGTTGCGTAGACTGTCAATGGAGAGACAGAAATCTCTCAGATTTCATTGAAATATCTTAATTTGTACTTCAAAGACGAATGAAAGTCTTATGAGTTTGGAACAACATGAGGGTGAGTAAATGAGGACAGAACCTTTAAATGAACAGAAATGTAAAACAAAACAAGCTTTATTGTCTTGTAGTCGATTTTTTTTCAAGACATATAAAAACTTTAATAATTACTAGGGGGATGTATTTTATGTTGTAGAATAAAACATGACAATATCTATCAAAACCTTGACTTCATTATAATAGAACCTGAAGTTGGAATAAAAATGTGAACTTATTTCCGGGTTGTAACTTAAGACTCATTACTGAGTGTTACTAACCCTAACTTTAACCCTAAACACGCTCTGCTCCCCCCAGGTGGTGGAGGACTGCTACTGCATCCTGAAGGACTACGGCTTCCGCTTCGTGAGGAGGGGACCGATATTTGTCAAGGGGAAAGGAGAGCTGCTCACCTATTTCTTAAAGGGACGTGAAAAACAAGGCTCCTTCATTAACGGCTCTTTTGTCACCCTACCGCACCAAGTGGTGGACAGCTCTTGACCAACACGCACACACACACAAACACACACTGTCGTACTCTTCAAACTTGCTCGCGCAAACCTCACGTCATACCTCTTCTGCCGAGTACATGTGCTCCAGTAATTAGTACTTTCAAATGTGTTTTCTCTATTTATTAGCCTGAGGAAAGAAATTTTGGCGGGAAATGAGACAGACTGTCTGTTTATATAAGAGAAGTACTATAAAATATACGTTTTGAAAGTGTGCACAGCCACGAATGAATGAAACAAAAGTTGAATGATTTTAATAGGCTGCTGAAGTGATAAACAGTTTGAGAGGAGGTTGTTTTTAAACTCATACCGCACAGAATACAATGAACTCTACTGTATATTACACAATGCGCTGCTCAAAGGAACCTATTTTTGTTGTTCTTTCATTTGAAATCCTTTTATTATTTAATCCTTTATTATTTAAAGATTACCCTGACATGTCCAGATAACTGAATGTTGTTTGCAATTGAAAAGCTACTCTGAATGCCTGCGTAGGAAAGCATACTGACTGCCTTTGCATAGCGTGTGTGTGTGTAGACATGCATTTCTATAGTCTCTAGTCACCTTTTCTTTATTTGTTGAATTTATAATGGATAAACATGGGGTTCTAAAGTCTGAGGCCACATCAAATCATGGGTTTTATTCAGTTCAACCCTGGAATAGAGTTCTAGGATTATTTTTTTTATTTTTTTATAATTCTATAATACATAGCCTGTTAACAGACTAGGAGACTTGGCACTCTTTTTTTAATTGCCTTTTCCCCCTATCAGATATTTTAGCAGTCATCATGAATTGGGTATCATTCGAAAGTTTAAACACTCAAAATTTGTCCTGTAAAACCGTCTTGAAATTGGACATTGCGTTTAATGTCACCATGAAATCAAAATTGACAACATTTTTTTTACAGAATGTTGCAGTGCTATTATAAATGATTTATTTGTGCACATCATAATTTTGTTATGCCCTCGTTCGCCTGAAATGGCGTATGCTCTCTTCATGACGCGTATCTCGGAGAGTGAGACAAAACATCATCCAAACATCACTGCAATCTCACATTCAGATCTCCCTCCATTGAGTTAGCAACTTCCTACGATCCAATCAATTCCCAAAGACGAAATCTGGATCAAAACCCAGATCCGGGCCACATGTGATTTCAACTCGTACCAGATCTGGACCGACACTATGTTGCTGTCTGGGTAGAGATATGGCTTTTATTTTTGCAGCAATTTTAGAGTCCAAGTTGTTTTGCCAAATATATATTTATAGTTATGCCAAAAAAAATATTTGCTTTACAGCAAATTGAAATCTTTGCTGCTGATATTCGCCCCCTTAATGCGCATTTTTACCAGACTTCTACCCAACAATCAAAGCGGCATTACCTCAGAAAAGTGTGGACTCGTAGGAAGATCCTTAAACAACACTAACTACAAGTATATTTAATATTGTAAAAACTATATTAAATTTGTTCTACAAATAAAAGCAAGCACTTTTACTGGTGGTCTCAGACTTTTAGACCCCACTTATCCATAAAGTGTTCCTCACGTGCCAAATACAAGCCACTATGTGCGTCAGATTGTGGTACTCTGAGGACGCAGGGGTGTAGGAGTATCACTGTGAACGGGTTTGTTGCACCACATTCATGGCAGTATTGCAGGGATGAATGTTTCTTAATTCAGAATATATTCCCCATGGTGTCTTTCCTCAAAGATTAGATGAATGTGCAATAGTTTTATTCTTTTACGCCATTCTGCTCTCCAGTACAGTTTTAAAAAGAGCCCTCCTCTCCCAGCAAGTCATATTTTTATATTAAGACGTAAAAGTTGTAGTTAAAGAGGATTGTGAAAAGAGACCGAACGATGGAACGGTGTGTCTTAAAAACTGGCCAAACAGTTCATTTATTACCAGTGTCAGAGACCTTCTGTGTCGGCAAGCAGAAGTCACATCGGATTTCGACTTTGATATGTTCATATGGTTTATGAAGGCATGACATTGTGGCCGATCTCTGTGGTTTGATACCAGACTAAAATTTGATATTTTTGAATTATCCTTCGATATGGAATAAAAAGGCACTTTGAATGATCTGTTACCTGATGCTGTGTGAGATTGATTATTTGAACCTTTTATGTGTTTAATTGAAATGGTACAAAGAACCTTCTTTGGATTAAAAAAATAATAATAACTCTTCCTACTGTGATTTTCAATTTTACAAATACTTTTCATTATTCGATAAAATGGTTCACCAAATACCAGAGCTACTCCAATAATTGGTTCTACAATAAAATTTTGGTCACATGGTATTACAACACTGTAATCGATAAAATAAGATAACACTCGAAAGTTCTGCTGTTTCGAGGAAATCTGATACTGATGAATGTTTCACAACGATAACTGTTTCTTGTAAGGGCAAATGGTTAATTATCTTTGTTTGCTTTACTCCCTCAATATACCACATTACATGCAGCCTAGGTGGTTTGCTGGTCTGGTTTTAAAGGAGTTTTAGGCACTGGTTACACTTTATATTACGTTTATTTATGTACTTACATAAAAAGAATGTATATACAATGTACTGGTTGTGTTGCTGTATTAAAAAACCCCTCGTGCTGCTATTGAGGTGGGATAGGGGTCCGGTTAGGGACAGGTTTAGTGGTGTGGGCAGGTTTAAGGGTGGGTTATGGTGTAAGAGAAGGGTCAACAGTGTAATTACAGGTGTTATTACATTATAGGACTGTCCTGGAAGACCAGCTAAGACCTTAAATTGTCTTAAATGGAGAACCTTAAAGTCCTGTGTCCTGTCCTGTCCAAATTCACTGCAAAAAGCCTGGCCAGCACAGCATCCAAAAGCACAAATGTACACTAACATTAAATAGTTTGTAAAGACCTTACACAGTAGGCTATATTCATCATTTCTGAAAATGAAAATATTAAATACAATTTGAAAATGTTTAAAAAAATAAAAGTACAGGTTTATTTATCATATATTCGTATTTATGTTGTTTTACCAGGTAACACTTTATTTTACATTGTTCTTGTTACACGTTACATGCTGTAGTAACTAAATTAGCCATAATTACACGCAACTAACCCTAAAGCAAACCCTGGCCCTAAAGTAAGTACTGTACAATCACTCCACTAATATAATTCTCTTGAGGGAGTGAAGGAAAACGAGTTACGTAATCAAATTACTTTTTTCGCGTAACTAACAAAGTACTGCATTACTTTTACATTTTCAACAACATATCTGAGTTACTTTTTCAAATAAGTGACGCAAGTTACTTTCTTTTCCAATTTATTGACTGACAGCTCTCCTGTTGCCATATTGAGAGAATCATGTGTAAGTGCACAAGTGTGTGCGCTGTGAACATGCTGACTATTGTAGATCTAGACTAAATGTGAGCATTTACTCATCTCACTTGCACAGAACACTCAGTATTCCTCAAAATAAATAAAAACAGTTCAATGCAAACCTGCAACAATTAAATGTGTATTACACAAATATACTTTATGTATTTAATCTCACTTTATTAACCAATGTCTTTGCTGCTGACCTTCGATGATCCAATTCAACCATATTAATAAGCAAAGATGACTTTAGATAAACATCACTTTTTTTTCTTGCTAAAGTTAAAGTGTTGAACTTTCTTCTCTTGGCAGCACAGCTGAAAGGCTTGTTTGAGCGGCGCCCTCTACTGTACAGGCGTGAATCTGCATTTCTATATTAGAATCTGCAAAAAAATATTGTAATGCATTACTTTTAAAAGAAACTTTCCCCAACACTATGATGTGGTTGAGCGAACATCAGTTGTACACTTGTTTTTGCGGTGCATTGTGGGATTGAATAAGTGAACTCGATTTTGCCCACTGGTTTCGGACACCACTACACCCTCAAATATTGCCCTATTTAAGGGTATAGGGGACGATTTCGGACACAGCCATAGCATTGTTATCACATTATATCTCTGCTATTTGCAATGGTTACTGTTTATTATTTTTTTCCTAGTGTTTTTCATGTGATTTTGGTGATTTGTATTAAAAACAGATAGGGTTTAGGTTACCCCGCAAACATCATAATAATTATTGTTATGTTTTTTATTCATTATATATTCAAAAACATACAAAAACTCTCCCTGTTGCTTTACTTCATGACAAGTGAGATTTCAATGATACTTTGACCACTAAATTAGGAAATGTCCCTGGTTTCCATTTAAAAAAATCTGCTGGCCATATTTGAGTATTTCTTTAAACTCCGTCTCCTCGGGGTAAAGGTCACGCCGGAGAGCACATAACAAAAACATACCAAAATGGTATTACAATAGCTTTGAGGATACACATTTCATGCTTTTGAACATCAAACACGATAGTACCATGGTATTTTTGTTTTTGGATATACGAGTACTGTAAATAACGTGGTACCAGGTAATCATTTGGTACAGTAGTATTTCTGGATACAATTGATAACGCAAATCTTTTCTAAGTCCACTCCCCCCAGATGTTAATATTGTTGTAATGCCAGTTCATGGTGTTGTTTTCTCATTCAGGAAATATCAGCATTGCTGTACTATGGTGCCACATTATTGTTACGGACTACTGAACAACTTTGGAAAAGTCTTGACACATTTATTAATGATATTATCCTATGAGAGATGTATCCATAATTTTTAAATACTTACTTTAGGACACTATGAATCTGAAGACAATGCTTGGTTTGTTATAAATTTAATTTATATTCTTTGCCAATTTTATTTCCAAAAATTCAAGGTTTACCAAAAACAAACCATTTTTAAAAGAATTTAAAAACTATTTCAACACCATTTAATCCTCAGTAAGAAATCATGTACTTCAATTTGCTATGTATAAACTCATTTCTTGGCCGCATGTTATTTTTTTTTTTTTCTCTCCCATCTTTCTTATATTTTTCAAGTTATTTGAAAAGCTATTTTTAACTTATTTTCCTCTGTATTCTGTTGACAAGGGGAGTATTGTTGTTCATGTGTATTATAAACATGTCGAGTCTGTATTTTCTGCATTCATTTCTAAACAAACATTATATACACAAACTGTGTATAATAAACAAGTCAACTCTGTATTTTCTGCATTCATTAACATATTGTTGTGACAGACTGGACACAAGTCCAGTGTGGCTTTTATGGGGTGTTTTTTTTTTTAGAACATTATATAAACAAAGAAGGAAACAGTCACAATGTAAAACAAATAAACGAGAGAGAAAAAAGATACAAGAGACGGATAACTAATCAGAAAAGATTAAAAGACTGACATATTTCCATTATTTTTAAAGCCTTCTTGTTACAAGAGTCAAAGATAGTCCCAAAGTGATGTTGTACTTCAGCAAGCAACACATTAAAATTATTTAAGTTTATTGAACTTTTTAAAATTCAAAACAGAATTCAATATCAAGTTCTTGACACATTTCTTTTATACATTTTCACATTTTGTAAGTAAAACTTGAAACACAGCAATTATTTAAATAAAAAGAAACAACACAAAAGAAACGTAAAAAAAGGGCATCACAAACATATAACTTATGTTACATTCATTTAGCAGAGCTACAGTTCTTTGGGCTTTTCGATCTTTTAAAAACTTTATAGACTCTAAATACATTTTAAAGGCTGCTTTAAAATGAGCGAACTTGGGTTTTGAGTAAGTCCATTTAGTTTGATTTTCAATCATTTCAGTTTGACGTTTAATTTTCCTAATAACAAAAAGAGCGAGTTCAAGGTTGTTGCGGCGCTTCCTGTGACGTCATCGCGCTCCGACGTCCATAATGGACTTGCAGCTGTTCAGTGACAAACAATAACAAGAGCAGCGAGCGAGCGAGAGAGCGGCTTCCGTGTCTGTAATCGCGCTGGTATTATTAAAAGCCCGTGAGGCATCTCGACTCTGACATTGTCGGCGAGGAAAACTCTGGCCTCCGCTGCCTCTTCCTCCGACTCGGACACCGGCGGAGCTTCGCCGCCCCCGCGGAAGAAAAGCCGAGTCTCGGCGGCGGAGGGAGCAGGAGAGAGCGGGGCTTCTGTTACCGGAATCACGGGCCTCTCTGCGGCGTCTCTCCCAACCCCCCACCAGCACTCGGCCATCCGCCTCAACAACAGCTCGCAGTCGCGCAGATCCGCCTCTGCAAACGCGGTTAATAACATGCAGGCCAACGGGACGGGAGGCCAGGAGCCGGAGCCGCAGATGTCTTGCAGGAACGGGGAGTCCTCGTCGTCCGTCGCGGGAGCCGTGCACTCAAACGGGCTGATGCCCTCCGCGAATAACGGGCTGCCGTCCACCGAGAGCCCGGAGCCGGACAGCAGCGTGAAGAAGAAGAAGAGACTGTCCCAGAGCGACGAGGACGTGATCAGGCTCATCGGACAACATCTACACGGGTTAGGACTCAAGTGAGTGTTGATGAGATGAAGCCATGATGCTGTCAGTGTCAGTGGTGCGGGTTTGGGCTTTCGCGAGGGTCGCGCTGGTGTTTTTGTGCCGTGTCAGTGCTGTTTTCGTGTTTGGCACTGCTGATTTTGTGTTGTTAGTATGGTGTCAGTGGTGTTTTTGTAACGTATCAGTGGTGTTATTGTTTTCATAACGGCGTCAGTGCTGTTTTTGTTCTGTCATGATGGTGTTTTTATTGGTGTCAGTGGTGTTTTTGAGCTTTCATGATGGTGTCAGTGGTGTTTTTGTGCTTTCATGATGGTGTCAGTGGTGTTTTTGTGCTTTCATGATGGTGTCAGTGGTGTTTTTGTGCTTTCATGATGGTGTCAGTGGTGTTTTTGTGCTTTCATGATGGTGTCAGTGGTGTTTTTGTAATACGTCTGTGAATTTTATTGGTTTTAGTGGTGTTTTTTGATGGTGTCAGTGGTGTTATATTTTTTCATGACAGTGTCAGTGGTGCTTTTGTGTTTACATGAGGCCGGGTGTCAGGGATGTTTTTGTAATGTGTCAGTGGATTATTATTGGTGTCAGTGGTGTTTTTGTTCTTTCATGACTGTGTCAGTGGATTTGACTGGTTTTAGTAGTCTTTTTATGACAGTTTCAGTGGTGTTTTTGTTCTGTCATGACAGTGTCAGTGGTGTTTTTGTGTTTACATGAGGCCGGGTGTCAGGGATGTTTTTGTAATGTGTCAGTGGATTATTATTGGTGTCAGTGGTGTTTTTGTTCTTTCATGACTGTGTCAGTGGATTTGACTGGTTTTAGTAGTCTTTTTATGACAGTTTCAGTGGTGTTTTTGTTCTGTCATGACAGTGTCATTGGTGTTTTTGTGATTTCATGATGGTGTCAGTGGAGATTTTGTAATGTGTCTGTGGATTTTATTGGTTTTAGTAGTGTTTTCATGATGGTGTCAGTGGTGTTTTTGTTCTTTCATGACAGTGTCAGTGGTGTTTTTGTGTTTTCATGACCGTGTCAGTGGTGTTTTTGTGTTTTCATGACTGTGTCAGTGGTGTTTTTGTGTTTACATGAGGGTGTCAGTGGTGTTTTTGCATTTACATGAGGGTGTCAGTGGTGTTTTTGTGTTTACATCAGGGTGTCAGTGGTGTTTTTGTGTTTTCATGACTGTCAGTGGTGTTTTTGTGTTTTCATGAGGCCATCCTTAAAAATTTTTTGGTTTGCAGTAACAGCAAAAAAAAAAAAAAAAAGGGTCGGTAGGTAGGTCTATATATTTTTTTTTCAAGATTCAATGTAAAAAAAAAAGGATAATTTTGGTCATGGTGATTAGGTCGGTATGAATTTAAACAAATTTGCATATCGTGACGTCACTGACTGGGTCTTCAACCCCCATGCCTTCGGGCGCACCATTGCGAACCTCATTCTGATACAGGTTATAGACCACAAACAATTTGAAATCTTTGTAAAAAAAAAAAACATATTTATTGCATTAATTCCAGCTGCATTCATTTGGAAAAAAATAGGCAGAATCAAAAGAAAAAAAGGAGCCACTAGATTTCAATGTAAGTGGATTTTCAGAGGGAAACAAATAAATTAAAATGACTAATCTCACCAGCGCCGCGCCGACCAATAAAACAGCGCGTTTGGCACCATTCGTTTACATTTGACCCATACTGTTACAAGCCCCCTTTCTGGTCTAGGGGCAGGAAAGGAGGGTAACAAAAAGTTGCAGGGAGAGAGTGAGAGATTTGACCCATAAACATCTGCTATTATTAACGGAAATCAGTGTGGTCAAATAGCTAGGCGCATTGTAGGAAACTATAGGCCGATTAAGTAGTCCTGACATATTATGGAATGGTCGATTTTCTTTTGTGCAATTTAGTACATTTCGGTATGGGATGTGCTGTTTTATTGGTCAGCGCGGCGCTGGTGAGATTAATTCGCGCCGCTCTGACCATTGGCTGGCGCAAGCAAACACTTCTCCTGCGCTGTCGAGTCTGACGCGCTCGCGCGTCTCGGTCCATTGAGCCACGCAGATTACAAGTCAGCGCAGCGCGAACTCTGTAACACACCGCGCCGTTTCGTCCCCCTTTCGGTGTGTTTGGCTTCCCACACTTATGTGTGTTTGTTTGTCAGAGCCTGCAGTTGCTGTGTGACGCGCGTTCGCGGTGGGCATGTCATGACGAGCTGGACGGGCTCCGAGAAAAGGCCGTTAACATCGATTCCCTATTTGACCATTAAGAATTTCGAATAATGAGCGACTAAATGTAGGCTCATACAGACGTATTTCACAAGCAGCCGCGCCGCAGCCATCATCACCGAGCGCGAACCATTGACAGTGAATGAAACGAAGCGAACGCACAGGCCATAGTGTGACATGCGTAAACCAATGGTGTAAACATAATCATAATAGATGACGCCACGGGTTTTTATTTAAAAGAAAGAACGTAGCCTACGCAATTTATATTCACAATACTTACTATAATAAATGTATATTATTTTATTGCATTTGTATTAGTTGTTTGAAGAGTAAAAAAAAAATCGGTCGGTCTTAATGCAAGTTTACAACCGGCAAGTCGGTCGGACTAAAAGGGGAAAAAAATAAATAATTGGGTCGGTCCTAATTTGACAGGGTCGGTCGGGTTACGGCAAACAAGAATATTTTTAAGCATGGCCTGAGGGTGTCAGTGGTGTTTTTGTGTTTTCATGACCGTGTCAGTGGTGTTTTTGTGTTTACATGACTGTGTCAGTGGTGTTTTTGTGTTTACATGAGGGTGTCAGTGGTGTTTTTGTGTTTACATGAGGGTGTCAGTGGTGTTTTTGTGTTTTCATGACCGTGTCAGTGGTGTTTTTGTGTTTACATGAGGGTGTCAGTGGTGTTTTTGTGTTTTCATGAGGGTGTCAGTGGTGTTTTTGTGTTCTCTTTCATAGGTTCACTCAACGCTGCGGCAAGCGCAGTGGGATATTCTCTGAATGTGCCGATTGTCTGAAGCCTTATAGAATCACGCCAATTCATTGGCTGATGGCGTCCGCACGATATGGCTCCGCCCCGACGCTCTTACGCCGCATCATTACATATTCGCGCGCCCCATCTTCTTAAATTTCTTTACCTTCAGAATGAAGCGGTCACCTTGCCCTTCGCTCGTGATTTTTCTGAGCTACATCTAAGGATTATTCTCGGCGCTTCTGCGACTGTTCAAGCGGAAGTCTGTTTCTCCTTACGGTGAAGTTGCCATGGATTACAGACGCTGTACTCCGCCATGTGCTCGTTACATTGCTAACGACGACCCACACAGTAAGTGCGTTAAGTGTTTGGGTTTTTCACATGCACGTGAGGCAGTTATAGGATCGTCTAAATGCAAATTCTGTGAAATTTTGTTGTTCAAAACCCTCAAATCGCGGCTCGCGGTCTTTGAGAGGGAATCATTCGTCTCCCCCTGTCGCGCTCCCGAGGCCTCTCGAGGATCCGCGACATGGGGTTCGGATGTAGAGCTTGAGGATGTGGAGTTCGAGCAGACGAGCCCCGCTCTTTCTCTCCATCCCTTCCCTCGGCACGCGCGAGGCATGCCAGTCGAATTTTCACACGATTATTTGCGCCCCAGCCCGGGAGCACGCGACGCGGTTTCTTTCGGGCTGGAGGATATACTTTTTACCGAGGCTTCCGACTCCGAGGATTTCGGGCCTACTCTCGCCGACGAGGTTATCCCGCCGAGCGGCCAGGAAGCGCGGCCTACGCTGAGCTCGTTGACGTGCTTTCGCGCGCTACGGAGAAGCTCACTATTGCTTGGCCCGACGAGCCACGTGAGTCTCAGTCGTCGAAACTTGACGAAAGGCTTCTCAGTGGCCCTAATTCTAGGCCTCAACGGAGGAAGCTGCCATTTTTCAGTGATCTGCATCATGAGATCTCCAGATCCTGGAAGCAGCCTTTCTCTTCGCGCCTCACTAATGCGGCTGCTGCTGATTTTACCAACCTGGTAGGCTCTGTGGAACAGGGCTATTCCGCCATTCCGGCGATTGAGGAAACTTTAGCCGACCATCTTGCTCCGTCGTCTGCGCCGTCCTGGAAGTCGCGCCCCCTCCTCCCTTCTAAAGCATGTAGGACTACTTCCTCTCTCATTGGGAAATCCTACATGGCGGCTGGGCAGGCAGGCATGACCCTGCACACTATGGCCATTCTTCAGGCCTACCAGGCGGACGTCCTGAAGGAAATGGACGAGGGCGACGGCGTGACTCCTGAAGCGGTCAAGGAGCTTCGTAAGGCTACGGATTTAGCCTTAAGAGCCACCAAGTATCCGCACGCGCTATAGGTCGCTCTATGGCTGGTTCTGTTGCGGTGGAGCGCCACTTGTGGCTTAATCTCACGGAGATCCGTGACAAAGAGAAGGTTTTCCTCTTGGACGCCCCCATTTCTCAAACGGGGTTGTTTGGTGAGGCGGTCAACACAGTGGTTGAGAAATTCCGCTCCTCCAAATCCCAATCGGCTGCGTTCAGACAGTTCATGCCCAGGAGGGCTAGGGAACCTTCTGCTCCCCCCACCCCCCCCCCCCCCCCCATGGTGCGACCCAGAGAACGTCCCTCTCATAGACCGGAGTTCTCTTCCAGAAGAAGCGATCCGGGGCATCCCCCACCTACCACGGTTTGGGGAGCCCGCGGTCGCCCGTTTCCCCGTCAACGGCCTCACAAGCGCCTCCAGATGAAGCGGTCCGACAAACCGACTGCTCCGGCGGCCCAGAGCCGTTCCTGACCTTCCGGTCAGAAAAAGGAGAGCTCCTCTGCTTCCTCAAGGTTGGGTCAGACCGCACAAGCGTTTCTGCCCACCTCCCAGCTCTCCTTTCCTTGCCCTGTCACCTTCGCCACTCAGAGTGTCTCGAAGTGCAGGTCATATATCACCTTCTCTACTCAGTCCGGTGCGGGAGGAAGGAGACGCTTTCTGCTTTCTCCCCTCACCCCCCACACTCTCTATAACTGCCGGCCGCACCCTCGGAGGCACTTTCCGTTTTCCTCCGGAGCA